ATTTCGTCCATCAACGATAGTGATAGTTGATAGTGAAAAATCTCGAATTTCGAGACAACAAAACACTTTCTCTCTCTCTTTCTCTCTCTCTCTTTCTCTCAATACGATACGACTTTCGATCCCGAGAGATAGTTCCTTCAACTTTTGAAAAGTTGGCTACCTCGTTTGAATTAAAATCGGTGAAACGATAAAGTTCCATGGAAGGAAGCTCGATGAAATTTAATCTCTGCTTCCAGAAACAAGATGAGAGGATAACTTCCGATACGATTGACTCTGATTAAATTGATTAAACTACGAAAGAATCATCCGCTTCTTATCGAGCCATTGAAAATTTGTTAATAATAGATCTAACGAGTGGAAATAAATTGTTTGATAAGAAAAATCAATAAAATTGCATGCTAAGATAAATTTGTACGTTATATTTAATTTCCAGGAATGGTGGGAAAAAATTTATTATTTAATTAGGGAAATCTTGTGACGAGAAAGAAATGATTGTTATTTATGAAATTGATGCAATTAAATTAAAGGATGAATTTTTGATCTTGTTGGCTATTTATTTATTTTTATTATTTTTTAAAAAGAATCATAAAAAATATATTTTTGTTACAAATAATTAATAAATAGCCAATCAGAGATATGTTCATTTATATCTTGAATTTAATTAAGAAATTGTCAAAACGAACAATAATTCTGCTTTATATAAAATGTTGTACGAATAAATACGAATCGTAATTGATTACATTATATTATACGAAATAATTTTTTCATTACTGAAACATCACTTCGAAGAATTGAAATCAATGTATAAAATTTCAATTTTTATTTTTTTTTTAAATATTTTTTATAACTTTGTAATATATATGAAATAGAATAAAATTTTGAACTATAAAATATTCATGTTTTTTAATATTCTATTATTTTATTATAAAAAATATTTCCAAACTAAATTGCATATGAAACATGAACAAATGATAAAAATTCGAGGATTGATTTCTCATATTGAAAAAAGTTTTTTGCAAAAAATAAATTACTCTATCTATGATCCATTATTCACCATATATATATTTTCATTCATTCAAATCAGATTATTCGAAATAGAATAGAATTTTCTTATAAAAAATATGATTTTCTTGTAAGATAATGTGAAAATTTTTGTAATTATATATCTGTATATTTCTATCTTCATTTAATTGATTAAAATTTATAAATTTTAAAAATTAAAGAAGATATGAAAAAAAAATTATAATATATCTATTTTTATTACTGCTTTATCATTAAAAAAAAGAGTCTCTATATGCAATTTAACAAAGTTTCAAAAAGAACTATTTCAAAAAGAAACATAATACCTTCACTAATATCTCTATTATAGTATTGAAATAACAAGGTCTAACAATGATTTTTCGCAACAATGCAAAGAGGTCGTCTATTTATGTATTTAAATCGTGCATAATGAAGGGGTTAAGGGATTTATAGTTGTGAGTAAATGTACCAAGGGAACATGGATGCTTGATAAGAATAGCGATAATAATTATCCAATTTTATTTTCATTCTCAAATCTCAAAAAATCAGATTAAACTGTATAATTATTCATTTTAAATGAGTTTACGAGACGTGAAATATTATCTCGATGATTTTTATTACGTTTACGTTTACGAATAAAAAGTTTCGCAATACGCATAAAATTGTTGTTCTATTTAAAAAAAAAAAAAAATACGTACATTTTATGCGAAAGAGATAGGTCAGATGTATTCAATGGTTCGTAAAATTGGCCAACGATATCCATCGTTGTTGAATCGTAAAATTTAATTAATATTCTTGTTGCGAAAACGGATTGAGTAACGAGGGCGAAAGATGAATGAGAGGAAAAAAAGGAGGATATTGGGAAAAAACGTGATCTCAAAAACGTGATCGATCCATAAACAACACCACTTTGCCCAAATTACGACTATACGTAATTTCCATATCGCGTTTTTCAACTTTATGAGATATAATCCTCGATTCTCTTTGAGAAAATTAACGATTTTAAGTTGAGTTTCGATTATTCTTTAAATATCTAGATCGATTTAAAAGATAACACTACAAAATTGGAAATTCGAAAAGTTAAATTCTTTTTTATATGTATTTATAACTTCAACGTAATGCAATAATATTTTAGTTCTTAATATTAATACAGTTTTTAAATAATTTGAACAAAAAATTAATTTGCAACATTTTTAATAAAATTTAGAAATCAAAAAAATTTAAATTACAAATTTTATTATACTCTTAATATATTTCACAAATATTAATAATTTGTATATTATGATATATTATACCAGACAATTAAAAATATATTATAGCAGTTGAAAATATTTGGAAATTATTAATTTAAAGAAAAACTGAATATTTGTGAAAAATCATCCAAAAATAAAAAATAATAGTACAGTGTTAATCAAAGTAAAGGGAAAATAAATTATCAATTAAAAATTGTAATTAATAAAGTTGTTATTAAATATCGTTCGAGTTATTAAATTTTACTAAAAGCACCAAAAATATTGAAAATTATGAATGATTCTAATTTTTTGATCAAAAATTGTGCAAAAAATAATTTACTATTCGATGTGAAAAATTTCGATTGGGAAATAAAAATATGAATAAAAAAATGTCATAATTTATACAAAGAACAATAGATATTCTAATAAAGGCAAATCTCTGTTTATATCCCTTTTTTTTAAAATATATTCATGGAAAATCATGAATTCGCATAAATATCCGTATTTCAATAATCGAAGAATCGAAGAAAATCGAATCACAAAAAATTGGAGTATCAAATATTTGAAATTTGCAAATAAAATTTTATGATACATCTCTGTAAGAAAGAATTTACATTGAGATACGATTGATTTTCCGCATTTCTCACCACTCTGCCTAAAAATAAATTTGAATGTACTTTTTGCAAAGAGAGAGTGGACATTGCGTGCTAACGAAACAAAAAGATGGTAAGATAATCGGTAAAAATTTCATCTTTCTTGCTTATTATAATAACGACGTCATTGAAATATTAAAAAAAGTAATTGGTCTATCGTGAAAGCCGGTTTAGTGTTTAATGATTCTAGAAATAATCAGATGAACAGTTATATAACATGATTTAAGATGTAAAAAATTATGAAAGAAGCCAATAAAATATTAATTGAATATTAGAAAATCAATTTTCAATTTATTTTTCTTCTTTTCATAATATTAATTGTGTGTAACACACTAAATATATTATTCCTATTGAAATAACCAGCTTCAAAAATTTTTCATTGTTATATTCTTCTATATTATTATTATTATTATTATTGCATTTATACCAATAAAATTAATTTTTATCCTTCTTCTTGTTTTTGAACGAGAATCACATATATGTCCAGATTTAATCACATATACAATTGATAGAAACAGATATATAATAATCTCGATATATCTAATGTTAATAATAATTCTTTCGTATTATCTTCGAATATAAGAAAATTCTGAACGACAAAGAAATTTCAAAGAACGCTTAATTTAGTTGGAAATAATAATCGAATGCGGGAATGGTTAAATTCACAAACGAAAATAACACATCAAAATCATCGATTAGTATCGACAATATCGTGTGCAATTTTAAAAAAAGATTAAAGTGAATTAAAAAATATCATCCAATGCTATTCAAATATAAACATAATGCGAATAATTCGCTAAAAATATTATTATTCGCGATATTTAAATCGTTCGATTCAATGTAAATTATTCGATCCGTTTAATTTTTTCACATACATGCCACTTGCACTTGTACGATAATCTACTAAAAATCTCGTTATCCATTTTCGAATGGGTTCCAAAAGACCTCAACTTCGACCTCAGAAGCTCAACAATCTATCGAGTTACAGCGGCCACAATGAGAACTATACGTCTGTACAGTTCAATTAAACGCGTTGGAGTTCTAATCAACTTCTCTCTCCCTCGAATCGTTGACGTCTTAATCTTCCCGAAATAGAAAATGCTGGCTCGAAGAGCAACAAAAGACGCCGATATCGGACTCGTAAACGTGGCAGCGGTAAAATTAAATTGCCTTCGATTGAACCGTGCGCGTAAACTGCACGAGGGAAAGCTGCGGAAACGAAAGAATTTTATGAACCAATTCTTTCGTTCCACGCTTCCATTACTTCCTTTTATTTCTATATTTTCGTAAGTAGCATAAAAATAGCCTAGCCTTGTTTCCACAAACGTGACGTTCTATCAAGATTTATTTCTCCCGTTATCGCTAAATTCAATAAAACTTTCGAAAAGAAAATAAAACTTTAAATGATGTAACTATGAGCCCAGTGAAACGGCCCTTAAAAGTGGCTTGGAAATTGTTCTCGTAATCCCACGTTTCTTCTCCAACTTTGCCGGCGAATAATCGTGTGGAGTGTGTTCAAGGATTGAAAGTTGTTGGCAAATTGGCCATAATAAAAAATAATGCGCGGGCGAAAGTGATTATTTTCTTCTTTTTTTAGAATTGAAAACGTATCATATCATACGAAGAAGTATTTTTATCACCGGGATGGGTTACGATTAATCACAACACGATCAAGCAAACGCGTGCAAATTGATCTCATCTCATCGAAGTAATTAATACAGGCTCGTTAGAGAGGGTCATTCCTTTCCTCAAAGCTTGAAAACAACAACAATAGCTATTACGAGTTACAAATACATTCGATGCCATTCGACGAAACGTATTGAATCGTTCTCGTATTAAAGTTTCAATGATTGCAGCACCATTCAACCGAATCAACGAAAAACAATTAAACACACATACATACATACATAAGAGGGCTGGAACAAGAAGCAGGAACAATAAACAACATATATACGAAGAAAAAAGACAGAGAAATAAAAGGATACAGAACATGATACAGAATACGAGCAGGAATTGAAATGGTCGCGGAGGAACATTCAGAAAATTGAAAGTATTGGGAACAAGGGATCTTGTTCCATTCACCAGACGTACCCACCCTCTTGGAGGTCGAGCCTCGGTGCCGGGCAGCAATGCCGTGTATCTCGTCTGCGCCTCGGTAGGCAGAACGATATCGACGCTCTTCGAACGTATACTTTGTTGAGGGACAGTCAACGTGTCGGTGTCCTCGCTGTGCCCATTTTTATTGTTGAAGCAGGAGTCGACGGACGCGGCCCTATCCCTTTTCAGCTCAGGAACGGTGAGAAAGATATCTCTGACGACGAACTTGCATTTGCCCGATCCGACGTGACCCA